AAGAGCTCGCAGCTCGGCTCCATGTTCAGTTGGGCAACGGCTTGCTCGATATCAGCCAGTTCTACGACACCATAGGGTGGCTGATGGTGGGCAAAGCGGCGATGAGGCTCGACTTCCCGGCCGAGGTGCTGGGGCTGGAGTTGATGCAGTGCATGGCGGCAAGGTGTTTGAGGCAATCAGGCACATATTCGGAGCCATTCGCTCCACTTCGTTCAGTTGTTCAAGGCCTCCGAGGAGGCACTAGATTTGCCAAGTGTGCGACGTGCCACATCATGCATCGGCTCACGACGGTGCACGTGGGCATGGCGCAGCGGCTGTGGCTGGATGACCTTAGCCAGTCGGTCAAGAGCACTCGCGAGACGATGCGCAACAAGTTAGTGAGGTGCCTCGTCGACACCTGCCGCTCGATGAAGCGAGCGGGGATGGCCATCTCTCCCAAGAGCGCGGTCGTCTGCACGAAGCTGGACGACGCCAAGATCATCGCCAGGCGAGTGCGTGCCCATGGATTCCAGATTCGCGCAGTTCCCCAGGCGCCGTACTTGGGGGGCGATCTGGGGGGAGGCTCTCGACATGCTCGCGCGTGCAGGACTGCTCGGCAGGCTAAGCACACGGCCATGCACAAGCGCGTGATCAAGTACGTGCGAGCTACTCGGCGCTACGGCCTCACCTCGAGGCTGGAGCAACAGGGTGCCCAAGCTGCTGGATCATACGGGCACCAGCTCCATGGCGTTTTCGGCGATGCCATGGCTCAGTTTCGCAGAAAGTTAGGCAACGCCCTCGGCCCCAAGATGTCGGGCAGATGCTTGACAACCCTGATCGACTTGAAGGCAGCAGGACGCGACCCAGCATGTAAGATGCCTCGCGAGTGCTTGCGGCTATGGCTTTCTTGTTGGACACGACAGCCGAGCATCCGCGACGGCATCAATCGTACGTGGCCAACCTTGGCTCGTGATCTGTCTGCAGTTCCACAGGCCCAGCGTGCTAGGCACATTCGAGGTCCTCAAGGAGCTGTGATATGCTACCTGCTGCAGGCTGGATGGCGGCCTGATTCTCCAACGTGTTGGGCCACGCCCGGTTGTGGCGACGGGCTCGAGCACAGCTGGCAGTTCGGGGTCGATCAGCTCACAGGTGTTGGCAATATCGGCATGCCCAATGAGTTCTTTGAAGAGTATGAGCGTACCGTGTCTGCAGGTCTCTGGCAGCGTGCAGCTCAGCATTATGAAGGTGCAGGGCTCGAAGCTGGGGCTTGCAACCACTCGTACCGACGACTTCTTCAGCACCTTGAGGGCGCACCAGGAGGTCGTCGCCTCGCTGGCCTTATGCTGGCGATTGCTGTCGGGGCCTCGTGGCCACGAGTGCGACGACAGGAGCGAGCCAAGCAGGAGATGTCCCTGGATTGCCTTCGCTGCCGTGGTCATCGAGAGACAGCCTTTCACCGTGTATGGGCCTGTGAGGGCAAATGTCAGCACGACATTTATGGCCTCACCGAGAAGTATGTGGGTGAAGCCTATGCGCAGGGGGAGGCAGATGCCTGCTTCTGGACGCGGGGCCTCATACCTTCAGCATGGTTGGCAGTGGAGGCTCCTCAGTGCGACGAGTCCTGGAGTACAACTGGAGGCGAGTACGTCGACGGCTGCTTCGGGGAGGGCAGGCAGGAGGAGCCACTATACGTGTTCGGGGACGCCAGTGGCGGCCCAGAGAGCAGGGACCCGCGGCTACGGAGAGTTGGCTGCGGACTCGCCTGTTACCACGACTTGTCTGAGAACATGGAGCTGTTCTTGGGAGTGTGGGGAGGACTTCCAGGAGCGCGACAAACAGTTCCACGAGGAGAGCTTCTCTCATTGTATCTCGCCCTGCGGTTCAGCGCGGGGCATGTGGTTTACACGACAGACAACGAGAGCGTGATCATCGGCTGGTACACTCAGAAGTATCGTAACCCAGTTGGACCCGACAGTGATTTGTGGTGGAAGATCGGACAGCATCTCGATGCACATCCCAGTTTGCAGTGCACAATGTTGTTTGTCCACTCTCACCTCGAGGCCCTGGACCTGCTGCAGGGCAAGGCGCCCAAGCTGCTCGTCGCTGGCAATACTGTGGCCGACGCCTTTGCCTCGCTCGCCGCGGACGGGGCCAGAGTGTCGGGTGCAAACAGATCGAGAGTGCATCATATTGAGAATAAAGCGTTCTTGGTTCGCATGAGAATTCTGCAGAGTACAATCGAAGCATTGGCCATTGAACAGGAACATGAGAAAAGCCTTGGTAGGAAAGCTGCCCGTCGAGCCCTGCCTAGGCCTCCTGCCCCATCCATTTGTGCTATGTTCTCGTCTCAGCATGTCTTATGCGAATCTAATGTCAATAAGTGCAGTAGGTGCAAAGGCACGGCCACTAAGGCGAAGCGTAAGGACTGGCTTACCTCCCCCTGTTTCGAGCTAATCAATGTTGTCGGGACTTTCTTTGATAACCCCCCTGGGCGGCGGGTGCATATTGCAGGGGGGTTTCCCGACCCAAGTCATACATTGAGGCATCACGCGGGACTGGGAGTTTGGTTCTGTTCAGCGTGCGGGTTCTATGCAGCTCAGCAGCTTAAAGAACTAGCAAAGCCGTGTGTTGGCCGAATCGAGGGTAATCGTAATGAATACCTCGATCGGATTTCTCGTGGAATTTGGCCTAAGGCTTACAGCAAAGCCGAGCTAGCCAAGAAGCGGAAATCTAGTGTTTAATTTTGTCACCCCGACCTAGTCGCTATATCCAGAACTCCAGAACTCCTCCTCCTCCTCCTCCTCCTCCTCCTCCTCCTCCTCCTCCTCCTCCTCCTCCTCCTCCTCCTCCTCCTCCTCCTCCCCACCTCCTCCTCCTCCTCTCCTCCTCCTCCTCCTCCTCCTCCTCCTCCTCCTCCTCTCCTCCTCCTCCTCCTACTCCCTCCTCCTCCTCCTCCCTCCTCCTCCTCCTCCTCCTCCTCCTCCTCCTCCCCTCCTCCTCCCTCCTCCTCCTCCTCCTCCTCCTCCTCCATCCTCCTCCTCCTCCTCCTCCTCCTCCTCCTCTCCCCCCTTTCATCCTTCTCCTGCTCCTCCTCCCCCTCCTCCTCCTCGTGCTCCTGCTCTCATCCTTCTCCTTTCTTACGGTCACCTCCTGCTCCTGCTTTTGCTCCTGCTCCTCCTCCTCCTCGTCCTCCTCCTTCTCCTCCTCCTCCTCCTTTTTCTCCTTCTCCTTCTCCTCCGTTCTCCGCACGCTGTGTCGACTGGCGGCGGCCCCCCCGCGGGCGTTCCACGTTGAATGCCGCCCCGCCGGCGACCCAGAATCGGTCGTCCTCCCCCTCGACGACGGACCACCCCTCGGGGTGCGATGTGTTTGGGCCCTCCCGGGTGCGCCGTGGTCCTGGACGGTCCGTCGGCGAGGTACGGCGGCGGGCCCAATTCCGCCTCAACCTTTGGGCGCCCAGCCGGCGCGTCCGGGTACGCCTCGGCTCCCTCAGCTCCGCCAGGGGAGGGCACCCGTCAACGGGCGCCTCGGGTCCTTGAACGATCTGACGTTTCGGAAACGGCCGATCGTTCAAGGTCGAAGGACCCCCGCGGTGTCAGTAGCGCCGAGGTCGGCACGACACGAGCTTGTCGTGTCCACCGTGCCGCGCTGTGGCGTCTCCCGAGGCGCCGCCACTCCTCGATCCAGGATTGGGTGCGGTGCATGCGGTCGGGATCTCTGGGACAGCTTTAAGTCGGGCCTGTCCCCCTACAGGGGGATTTTCGACGAAGAATGAAAAACACTCCAAAAGTAGCCAGAAAATAGTCCAAACATAGTCTGGGGACTATCTGTTGATCATGGTTTGACCTTTTTGGTGCATTTTGGGGTATGTTTTATTTCTCGTCGAAAAGCCCCCTGTAGGGGGACAGGCCCGACCTAACGATAGCTTTTGTCGCACCGCCAGCTCTGGCCCGACGCGCTTCGGCGCGACGCGCTATAGCCACGTCGCGGACCCCAGGCGGCCAGGCCCCCGGCTTTTCCCGGCCCCCCGCCTCCCGCGGAGCGGAGCGGCACGCTGTCCACTCGCAAGGCACGGCGCTTCGACGGGGCCGCCGCCGCCGCCGCCGACCGCACGCCGTGGCGCGTTGGCACCCCGAGGCGTCGTCGATCCTCGATCCAGGAACGCTACGGTGAATAGCTGCATAGTGGCGGCTTGTCCCGGCCTCCCGCCCCGCGGAGCGGAGCGGCACGCTGTCCCCTCGCAAGGCATGGCGCGTCGACGGGGCCGCCGCCGCCGACCGTACTGACGAACGAGCAGCACGCACCCATACCCATAGGGGGGTCGTTGGGAGGAGGACTGGCTAGGGGTATGGGTGCGGGTCGTCGGACCCTGGGGAGCGCTCCCGTTCGAGCGGGGACCCCCATCCGACAGCACGCACCCATAGCCCTCTCCGACCCCTCCATGGGTATGGGTGTGTGTTGTTGGTTCGTCACGTGCGCCGTACCGCGTGGACACCCCGAGGCGTCGTCGACCCCCGATCCGGGAGCGGTGCGGGGAATAGCTGCACAGTGGCTCGGCCCTGGGAGCTGGAAAACGAGGCATCCTGCCGTAGGTTCGTGTCGTGCCGACGCGGCAGCGACCCCGCAGCGGCTGTTCAAGCTGGAACGCCACCAGGGGCCTGGAATCGCTCCACCTGGAGCGATCCGGTGATCAGAAAGCCGCCGATCGTTCGAGTCTGAACGATCCACGCGGTGCCAGAAACCAACGCTGGGGTCGTCGCGACACGAGCTTGCCGCTTCGCGTCGGAGCGGGGCCTGGCGGGAGTCTAACCATGGTACAGTGCCGTTTTTAATGCATGCTCCGCGTGCGGATCATGTATTCAAAATACAGGGATGCAGAGTTAAAAACAACGATGAGTTCATGCATAAATTCATTCATAAATTAATCATGTATTAAAATCCTATATGTTTGCTTTTTAACTTAAAACAACTATGTATTAAAAACTGCCCTGTATGGTGCACGGGCGCCGTTCTCGTAAGAGGCGCGGGACGCGCTGCGGGCAGAGACGCTGCGCTTGTTGGAGGAGGGCGACCGCAGGTACCCCATGGTGAGGGACGCCCTGCTCGGCCCGGCGATCAGAGGAGCATTCGGTAGCAACTCATGGGGGCCATGTCGTCGTAATGCCGCCTTGAAAGTGCCAAAGCGTGCGCTTGCGTCCGGTAGTCGATGAGACATCGCCGATGTGGCGTCGACTTAGCGTCGACTTGGTGTCGACCAGCGTCGGTCAGCGTCGTTTCGCAAGGGCCAGCAAGATGGCACGGGAGGCTCCCACGAGTTGCCACCGAGCACGGCCCACCACCACCGAGAGCCCATCAGTGGTGGCCGACGCCTGGACGGTGGCACGACCAAGCGCCACCCCAATGCGAGACGACGCGTGGGCGGTGCACCGCCCAGGGGCGGGTCCCTCCCCGAGGGGTTGTCGCTGGCGGTGGTTTGCGTTCCCCGTCGGAGGCGAGGGAGCTGGCCTTCGAGCTGGCGTGCTGCTCCCTGCAGAGCGTCGGCCGGGGCGGCGCGCCCCAGAAGGCGCGGGAGACGCCGCCCGTGTTCGACGCCGACTGCAGCGAGGCCTACACACAGCTCGTCCAGGGCATGTGGCTCGCCAAGAGGGGCACGATCCTCTCCGAGCTGTGCGCAAACCTGAGGACGTGCGCCATATCCAAGGATGGTAAGCCACTCGGCGTCGAGAGCGTCGGCAAGAAGCAGCTCCTGAGGCTTTGCATGGAGCTCCAGCCCCGCTATCGCCATATGTTCAGCAGCGACCAGGTGAACCGATTCCCGCTGATGCTGCTCTGCATGGTGCTCTACACGCAGCAGGATGTCGACATAGATCGGATGATGCTCTTCCCTGACTGCCCGACGGGTCTCTCCGAGGAGCGCGAGCGCTCCTACGCGCAGTACCGCGACCGCACCAAGGCGGCGAAGGAGGAGCGCAACCCGATGGTGGTTGGCTTAGTGGGCCCCGGAAACGGCAGGGCCGTTCTTTCACCGTTTTCGGAAAAAGCGTCTCTTGAAAAGCCGGAATTGGAACCAGAACCGGAACTGGAAAAACACGGCGATGGAACCGGTAAGAAGACGGCGACGGAATTGGTAAAAGAACGGCAACACAGAAGCGGTAAACAAACGGCCATATCTTCCAGAGCCCACTGAGGTGGCCAGTTCGATCAGTTGGGCGGCATGGGCTTCCTGGGGCTTTATCAGCACGGGCAGGCCCAACAGCATGGAGAATTGGAACCAGAAGGAGCTCGAAAAGGAAAGGCTTCATCAGCATGAACTTTCGGAGGTTCACGCGGATTTCTCGGATCGGCGCCCGACACCACCTCCCCTGGCGCACGGATTTGGTCAGGGGCGGCGCCAGTGGCGCCGCAAGGGGGTTCAAGCGCCGATCCAAGGAATCCGTGCGGACCTCCAAAGGTTTCCGTGTTTACGAAGCCCTCTCTCCTTTCGACGGCAAAACACCATAAACATATTTTTTTGGCGCTCCGCGCGGATTTCTTGGGTCTGCTGGGGCCCCCATTGCGGCGCCTCTGGCGCCGCTCCTGGTGCGCTCCTCGCGCCAGGGAAGGGGGTCCAGCGCGGACCCGAGAAATCCGCGCGGACATCCGAGCTTTTATGTTTATGTGTCGTTCTTCGTTCCCCCACTCAAGGAGTGGACCTTCGTCCAGGCGCGGTTGGAGACCTGGGTGAAGCTGATGTGCGTCTTGAGTGCCATCCAACCACGGCTCGCCGAGTCCAGGACTGTCACGAGGTCCCTGGTGGGCATGGCCGACGGCGCTCTGGACTACCTTCGCCGACGGCGGCCCGGGGAGACTCTGTTCTGGGCGCCCCCCCTGAGCGCCAGCCTCGACGAGGAGGACCACGTGCGGCCGGACTCCCTGCTCGTGGCCGAGCGCAGCGTGGTGTTCCGGATCGCCGGCGTGACGCAGGGGCTGGAGCTCTTCCGCTCGAGCCAGTACCCGGGCGAGAGGGAGGTGCTCGGGAGGGGAAAAAGCACACACACACACAGACACAGACCACGCACCGTCGGCTCCCAGGAATATATAGATGGGGAAGGTTGGGCAGCGGAGGCGAAGACGGAAAATAGATTGGAACACAGGGGGGATCCTGGGAGGTGTGTCTATGTATTTGTGACCGCGCCCCCTGCTCCAGTCCATGGCGTACCTTGTCCTGTGCAAGATCTTCGGCGCCGCCAGTTCTCTGAGCCCTCCGGCCGCCTGAGGCCCCGCCCGCCCGTGCCCTGTCTCCCCAATTAGGGCTACACCGGAAGGGGCCCGCTCCCGACCCCCCGACCAAAAAATTCGATGTATCTGTGTGTCCCTGGGCCACCTCTGGGTGCTGCTGCCCGCCTTCTCCCTCCTGCGCGTGCGCGGCGTGCGCGACGAGCCCGGCCGGCCGCTGCTCCTCGAGTGCGGCTTCGAGGGCACCATGCTGCCCGAGAGGCTGCAGCAGGCCTGCTGGCAAGACCTCCTGGAGGCGTCCCGGGAGCTCGCGCGAGAGGCCCTCGAGGCGGAGGAGGAAGGGGAGGAGGAGGAGGGGGAGGGCAAGGAAAAGGAAAAGGAAAAGGAAAAGGAAAAGGAGGAGGAGGAGGAGGAGGAGGAGGAGGAGGAGGAGGGGGAGGGGGAGGGGGAGCGGGAGGGGGAGGAGGAGGGGTGGAGGGGGAGGGGGAGGGGACAAGCTAGGTGCGC